CACATAAATTATTGAAACCAAATGAAAAATGAGTTGAAATAAATTAAGCAAAGCAGGCTAGTAAAATCATTGATGGAGATAAAAATGCATTGGTTTCATTATAAGTGTATTTTAAAAAAAGAGGAGAAAAATATAATGATATTGCTAGAGACAACTTTATTAACCATCACTGTTAATGATTATATGCTAGAAAGTTTATAAGATCAATTCTTTTGTGTCTCCCGCTAATAAAGCAAGAGCTTAATTTGAAGCACCATGACTTACCTGTGACCTGCTTGATAGATATACATACATATAGATGAGATAGGTATAAGGTTAATATACAGCCTTGGCCAAAAGTATTAGGCACCCCAGAAAAATGCACAATTCATGTTTACTGATTGAACAATGAATAGATGCTTATTTTAGATGGCATGCGGGAGTCACAAATAACTTCCTAGAAAAGCAAGCAGCTATCTGTTATGGTCATAAAACACCTGGTGACTGAAAACAAAGGATTTGTTTTTATGTGTTCTTATCAGTCAATATTTGGTCACTTGTGTTCAGGACTCTAACGAGTAAACAAGCTTTTATTTCTAACATAGTGATTAAATTGACGCGTAATTTATTTAAAAATGCCGAAAAGAAGTGAAATTAGTTTGGAAAACCGAGTAAAAATACAACTTTTCCATGAACAAGGTAAGTCGCAAGAAGATATTGGTACGTTATTGAAATGTTCGCGTTGCGCTGTGCATTCTCCTATCAAACGGTTTGCTGAGACTGGCAGTCACGCTAATAAACCAAGAACAGGCAGAAAACGTGTGACTCGCGTGTGTCACGCGAGGACAGAAAATTAATACGCGAATATATGAAAGATCGGAAGAAAACATCATCAGAGCTTGCTGCTACATTGTCCGAAGAGGTTGGAAAGCCAATAAGTGCTCGGACCACCAGAAGAAGACTTGGAGAAGCAGGCTTAAAAGGATTCAAAGCCAGGAAGAAGCCCTGGCTTTCAGAAGCTAACAAAAGAAAACGACTTGAATGGGCTCTACGGCATAAACATTTTACTGAGGAAGATTGGGCCAATGTGGTATGGTCTGACGAATCTAACTTTGAGGTAAGTAAATTTTACTGCTTTTGTTATTAATAATCATGGTCAGTTGTTTATTTAACTAAATTAATAAAAGTTAAGGCAGTTTAAAAAAAGTGTTTTTTTTTCTTTGTTCAACAGATATTTGGAACGCCAGTTGTGACCTTCGTGAGGCGACGTGTGGGCGAAAAATACCATCCAGATTGCGTCGTACCGACAGTAAAGCATGGAGGAGGTAGCATAATGATCTGGGGCTGCATGGCTACTGATGGGGTTGGCTAAATGTTTGTTTGCGAAGGTCGTATGAACAGCAAAAAGTACATAAAAGTGCTTAAAACTGCGCTTATGCCTTCGCTAACGAGTATTTTCGGCGATACCAACTTAGAGGGAGTTATATTCCAGGAAGACAATGCATCTTGTCATAAGTCAGCGACTATGATGCGTTGGTTTACTGAAAACAACATTGACTTGTTTGATTGGCCAGCGCAGTCACCAGATTTGAACCCAATTGAACATCTTTGGAGCATATTGAAGCGCAAGATTAAAGAGCATGGTATCACATCGAAAACGGCATTAAAAAATGTGTTAGTACAAGAATGGCATGCCATTACAAGGGAGGATTGTACTAAGCTTGTATGCAGCATGCCAGCTAGAATTAGTGCAGTAATTAAATCCAAAGGTGGACCGACTAGATTTTAAGTTTTTTTCATTCTTTTTTGTGTAATTTAATGGTAATAAATCAATTCAAAAAGTATAAGTTGTTTTTTCCTGTCTTTATTTTAAGTAAAATGTAGGGTGTCTAATACTTTTGGCCAAAGCTGTATATATAATATACAGGTTTAAGGTTAATTAAAGAAAATCTTTATTTTGATTTATTAAAATAAATATTTCTGCTATTGCAAACAGGTGATAATAAGTTTCTTATCAACTTGATACTCTCTCACCTAAAGGAACAATAAAGGCAGTAAAATTACTTAAGGGTTCAAATCTTTTTATAAAGAATAGTAAATATTAAAACTTTTGTTAACATAGTTTTTTGTTCTATCATATAAGATACAAGATGCAAAATAATTTTTATGAACATTTTGTGAATATATATGAAAAAAAATATTTTTTGCTGCTTGCACTGCTTTAACAACTCACTGGCGTTAAAATATTTATGTATTACATGTTTAACAAAGATAGCAACTTCAGCTACGCTAGCTATGCTAGTTGATTGAGTCGGGAATGTGTTTGTTGTATAGTCTCAATTAATAATAAAATTTAATTTGAAGCTTAAAGACCCTCGATATTTTATTAAAAATAAATATTCTATTAAGACTAAAGTATAATACCTATACAATTTTAAAAGTACATTAAATCCAACATAACAAAACAAAACTTAAAAATAATAGTTGGGCATAACGTTATTGTAATCATGTTTCATAAACTATAGACTAGCGTAATATTTATTTTTAAAATACTGACTAAAACTTGACAAAATAAATGTTTAATTAGGTCGCCCGTGGGTTGACCATCCTGAGAAGTTAACTAGAACAAGAAAATTGTGAAAACCTTGACATTCTCTTATAACAGACATAAGACTTACCCAATAATTCTTTCTTACAAATTACAAACATTCACCAACTCATCAAAAATTCATTTTGAATATATTTTTAAGATTAGAAGGAGCACTTCGATCACAAAATGTACAATTTATGAATGAGTCCATAGACAATTCATTCGCTATATTACTCATCATTCGCTCCCATAAAACCACAGACTATTGAGTAATTACGATAAAAAAGTAAGCAAACTTTGCTTTCATCATTTACCTAAATCGACCCTATAGGCCAGGGTGACCAAAGAAATGCTTCAATCCGTTCAATCCTTTTAACGAAATCATTCCCACAGATTTCAGGGAACCAAAAAGATAGATGTTACATATTAAGTAGAATTTTGAAAAATAACATTTTTGTACTATTTTTCTTTAAAACACTGGTAATGGTCCGAGAAATCTCACTGATTGGATACCTAATGGCATATATGTAATAAATACTAAAAGTGAGTAATAACGAGGTATAAAGGAGAGTTGAGTCCCGCTCCTGCCTTAAATTACTAGCAATATTTTTATTTTTTGATAACATCACATTGGGACTTTTATTTACCTCTTTACTTTAAAAATAATACAATATGGTACTATTATTAAAGTAAAGATATATTGTGATGGAATACTGCAGCAATCACATGGTTTTAAGAATTCAATTTTACCAAAATCTTTCTTTCCTCTTCTTTTTTTTCCTGGGTGGAACTCTCCTTGGATACCACCCACCAGTGGGTGATTATGTCGGACTCGAACCGACCAAAAACCGCACGCCGTTTTAAGGTACCAGTAGTCGGGGAACCAGATATACCCTAAAAAGGAAAGACCTGGTATCCCGACATACCTCGGGCCATCTACGGCTTATAGATGACCCCTCCTGTAAGGGAACCCGGATGTTCCCTTCCTGCCCCAAAGGGCGAGCGCGCTCCGTAGCCCGTCGTGCCATTACCCACCCGGGCCTGCTTCTGCTAGAGTGATAGATGGCCTCACCTGCCACCCTCAGGCCTGCGCTTATGGAGGATGGAGGTCGCTGTGCGACCCCCGGCGCCTGAGTCGCCTGCGGTACCAGGCCCGTTCTCGGGCCTGACGAGCCGGGAAGGTTCTGAACCTCTCCTGGTCTCGCTCCGCCATCTCCTTCGCAAGCATAACCTGCTCGCAGAAGGAGACGGTGGAGTTCCACGCACTCTCGCTCCGCGCCATGGCCGCAATCATGTTACCGAGTCAAGGATCTCCCACCCCGATGGCCGCCACGAGGTCACGCCTCTCTGCCACGCCGGGCATTCTGCTAGCGTGTGGAGCGCCGAGTCCACGGTCCGGCCATCGCAGTGGCGGCACCCAGGCGTTGGCTCCTTGCGGATCAGACACAGGTGATTCCCGAAGCATCCTTTTCCAGTGATCACCTGTGTCAACCGGTATGAGAGGGTCCCGTGATGCCTCTCGAGCCAATTACTATAACGGGTCTTACCGCCGCGAAATATTTTCACCACCTGAAATCACGAAACGAAAGAAACGAAATAAAATATTAGCCAATGTATAATTTTAACCTGTTTTATATAATTTATTCAACCTTATTTTTTCTTTTTTACAACTTTACCCATATACTTTACAAATATACATTAAACGGACACATAGAACACTCAGACTAGAACAACAATTTGTCTATCACACAAAGTGTTGTCCCATGTCGGGATCTTACCCACAACACTCAGCACTGAAGGAAGCGCGAGGTGACTGCTTAAACCACTACGCCATCCGTGCAGTCAAAATTAAACTAATGACAGATAGTTATTCTTCATATCTATCTATCTTTTTTATTGGCACATCATGAAATATTCGACCAAGTTACGAAATACCGAAGTATCTGGCCAAGCATAGAATTTCTATCTTGATCGGCCCAATTATGTCAATTAATCAATCAAATCATTTATTTTGCGAATATGGGTAAACTTTCGGTCTTTGACATTTATATTTGAAAACATTTTACGAAAACTATTTAGTATAGGAAATTTACTTAATCTATAGCAAAAAGTACCTTTACAATTTAACTAAGAAAAAAAAAGTTTAAATGTGTACTTAGCTCATGTTCATAAGCCGAGAACGCATCGTAATTTCAAAATCGATTTTTTTCATAAGGTTGGTTGTAACTCAAGTCTATAATTCCGCCAATCAGACACTTTGGGCCTTTCTTCTTCGAAGAACATGGCCGACATTTTGATATTGCTGTCATGAAGATTTTTCAGTGACAAAAATTTAACTTGTAGTTCTTCATGCACGGTTTTATGTTCCCAAGACGTTTTATTTTTTAATCGCTTAGACGGAGTGTAGTGTAAGCTATTTTATTTTTAAAAAATGGCAGCTGACCGTGAGATTGCTGCTGAAGACAGCATCCGAGTGGTTTGCCGATTTCGGCCACTGAATGACTCTGAAGAAAAAGCTGGTTCTAAATTTATTGTGAAATTTCCTTCTGGACCCGATGACAATTGCATTTCAATAGGGGTGAGTACGAATCATTTTAATTTCTGAAATTACTTTCCTCTATGATCGCCCTAAATTAGATCATGATGACTAATACATTACCGAGTTGTTCACCTGCTACGAAGTGGCCTTTCTTTTTCATTCCGCTTCGATGATTATGATTATAATCGTGTAAATTTCAAGAATTTTATCGAACATATTTTAATTAAGGTAACAACGTCTTTGTTTTGCCGAAAATCAATACAAATACCACTTCGACCTTGACCCAAGTAGGAATACCACAATTTGATGATGATTTTTGTGTACGCATTGTAAGATTCTGACATTCATTGTCTAAAATCATTAACTCTGTTCCATTATTATTTTTCCACTTACCTTCTTTTTACTGCACTTGTTACCATCTTATGTACTTACCTACCTATATTTTTGAGTGTCTTTCATACTCTGAAACTGTTTTAATTAAAACCGCTAGAATTTAATACTCTTCTGTATTGAAAATATTATTTTTAATGTCTGTAATTATAATACTTATGGAAAATTATATACTTATTATACATGCTAGACTCATTATTTTCTTTTGTAATAGTTAAAAGGCTTACAATAGTTGCAGAACTGACCCTGCACTATTACATAATTTATTGCATCCTGTGGATTGTTAATTATCATGGGTATGAATAATGATTTCAAGCTGTAAAATGTTTTGCACTTTAAGGAAAATACTAATAAGAAACCAATAAGTCTATATTTTGTAGTTTGTAAGATAAATATATACATAATTTAAATATACCTGATAAAAAATAAAATAGTAATTTTTGTCTAATAAGTTATTAAGCTAAACTTGCTCTCTTAAAAGTGTATTTTATTATTATATGTAAAAAATTATGATTAATTGAAAATGAAGCAAGAAATTAGAATTATATTCAAAAATACCTAGTAGAATATGTACTAGTGGATGATGTCAGATACTTATGTTGACCTGATTCATAGCCGACTGTAAATTTTATGAGCTACTTGGTATTTTAGCTCTAGACAGTAGACTATACACACATGTTAACCACTGCTTATGGTATGGGTGGATTGAACTATCCCAAATATTTATAGTCTATAAATAGCAGTCTAATGAACTTGTTTACTTGATCTATTGCTTTTCTCGTAAGGTGAAAAAAAAACTAATAAAGTGATGCCCATCCATGTGTTGTTGTATTAAATTATTGTTAAATGAATTTATTCTATTTAAGGTAAGAGTTAACTACAAAATAAGTGATTAAGTTTAAATTAACCTTTTTCATTAGTCTCTAAATTATGCTATGCATTTAATTAGACTTGGAAGATTCTTATTAGACTCAACATTTCACTATGTTCATGAATTAGACAGCACTTTCAGTTTTTTAATCATATATTTAAATATGAATATAAACAATTAAGAAATAAGTAATTTAGACATTTAAAATGATGAAATCAAATTTAAGATACCATTGATAGTGGCATTATAAAATATAATAATAAAGTATTTTATGAACAGTAAATAGAGTATATTATTATTATATTTCTTAGTCTTATCAGAATAGTTTTATCAAAAGGCTTTTTAATATTTCTAGGATGATATTGATGCCTCAGATTTTCTGAAAATACTATTGTTATTTTGCTTCACCGCTTAAATGAATGCATATATATCAGAAAACTAAACAATTCTTATTTTAGTAGTGATTACTCATTTTTTCAATGTAAATTAAAATCCTAAGAATGATTATTACATCATCATTCATTGTGCACCTTCTTGGTCATCTGAATATTTGTTATGTTATACATGTATGAGTTGCAAAAGTTTTTCTAATTTCACTTTCAACTGTACAGTCAGACTTAAGGTATGTAGCACTAAGTAAAGTTTGAACATTACTTCCTAAAATCCACTCACAGCTTGTTGCTTAGTTAGAGAATTTAATAGATACTAATAATGTAAATGTATATTATTATTAAACTAAGCACTTCTTAAAAATAAATAATTAAGTGAGTAATTACTAAAATGGATGAGTTGCAGGTGTTAAATGATGATTATGCTGATATATGATTATTATTATAATACTAAGATGCCACTATGTATGTATAAAGAGAATGTTCATTAATAAGTTAATAATGAACTTGGTGTAGGGCAATTTTGTTAATGATGTACTTGACTCTATTCATGATACTTAAATTTTTCTAATTTGATGCATAGTGGAAAAAGAGTTTATATTGCTCGTCAGTTATTAGGTTAGGGGAAGGTGGGTTTAGTTATATTAGCTATATAATAGTAATATCAGTAGAATCAAAGAGATATCTAATTTATTTATATTGAAAATGTGTGTGAAGTTTAAAAAATTATAGAATACCTTTATAATATTTCATAGCATGTATCACAAAAAGAAAGATTTATTGCATGGCATACCTTAAGTCCATGTCATAATTTCAAATTAATTACACTGTCTGCACTACACTTGGTTATTTAAAATGCAACTTTCATAATACTACACATTGCGTATTTTATTACCACAATGTAACTGCATAGTATAGTCCAATAATTCACATAAAATTTACATGATTCTCTTTGAATTACATGATTTTTTGTATTGTTTTAGGGCAAAGTATACTTGTTTGACAAAGTATTCAAACCAAATGCAACTCAAGAAAAGGTATACAATGAAGCCGCCAAGAGTATTGTGTCAGATGTCCTGGCTGGGTATAACGGCACTATTTTTGCATATGGACAAACCAGTTCAGGCAAAACACATACTATGGAAGGTGTCATAGGTATGCAAAATTTACATTGTATTTTACATGTACATTGTTTACATATTTATACTATTTGTGATTCATGTTTTGATTAAATTTTTATAGGTGATCCAGGGAAACAGGGTATTATTCCACGGATAGTTAATGACATATTCAACCATATTTATGCCATGGAAGAAAATTTAGAATTTCACATTAAAGTGTCATACTTTGAAATTTACATGGACAAAATCAGGGACTTGTTGGACGGTGAGGACAAATGAATATTCAGCCTTGAAGATTTCGTGGGTATGCTATGATTTGTTTTAATTCTTGCTTCTTTTATTAACAGTTTCAAAAGTGAACCTTAGCGTTCATGAAGACAAGAATAGAGTCCCTTTTGTCAAAGGTGCTACTGAACGATTTGTGTCAAGTCCTGAAGAAGTGTTTGAAGTTATTGAGGAGGGCAAATCAAATCGACACATTGCAGTCACAAGTATGTACGCTTTTCTTAACAAATGAGAGTAAACTGTGTTTTATAGCTCCATTAACAAAACATCTTAATTTCAGACATGAATGAACATTCATCTAGATCTCATTCAGTCTTCCTCATAAATGTTAAACAGGAGAATCTCGAAAACCAAAAGAAACTTTCGGGAAAGTTATATCTGGTTGACTTGGCTGGTTCTGAGAAGGTATGACTTCAGAAAGAGAGAATTAACCTACTGACACATTCACAAATTAGGTTCTGGACGATTTTGATTATTAATTTTGACCTCTATTTGTGACTGTCAGCCAATAGGTTAATAAAATAAAAAAAGATACATTTTTGCTATACTTCATTGCAGGAAACAATAAATTATAAAGCAACAACAATTATAGAGGTTGAATTTTACAGGTATCTAAAACTGGTGCTGAAGGTACTGTCCTTGATGAAGCAAAAAATATCAACAAATCATTATCAGCCTTGGGTAATGTTATTTCTGCATTGGCTGATGGTAACAAGTCACACATCCCTTACAGAGACTCAAAACTGACACGTATCTTACAAGAGTCGCTCGGAGGTAACGCCAGGACGACTATTGTTATCTGTTGTTCCCCTGCCTCATTTAACGAGAGTGAGACCAAGAGCACGCTTGACTTTGGTAAAAGGTGCATATATTTTGTATTTCCTTTTTACACATACACACTTTATCATTATCTAGAGTTCTAAGAGTCTAGACAAACTATTCTAATGAGATAACACACGTTTAAACAATACATATTAACAAGAAATATACACTTTTCATTTCAGAGCTAAGACTGTTAAGAATGTGGTTTGCGTCAACGAGGAGCTTACTGCTGAGGAATGGAAGCGTCGTTATGAGAGAGAAAAGGAGAAGGTGGCTAGGCTAAAGGGCAAGGTTTGTTATTATTTTTCAACTTATTAAATCAAGATCTATTACAATGGTTTCTATATAATGTGCATGACATTATTACTATTTTGTAATAAAAATGTTTGTTGAAATTAGGTTGAGAAACTAGAGGGCGAAATAAGTCGCTGGCGATCTGGCGAGACTGTTCGTATCGAAGAACAAGTCAACCTAATGGAGCTTGAAGCTGTCACTCCTGTTACATCATTCATTGAGGAGAAACCACCAGTAGCAGTGAGTATCAGTACCATAAACCCTATGTTAGAATTTATTTCTTGTATACAAGAAAATAATATACATCAAAATTGAAGGTATCAATCAAAAAACCATTACCATAAATACCATTTGACATAAAGTCAAATGTGAAGCTTGTATTGTTTTGTATCATTTAACTGGTTTTCTCTTATGCTATGGTTCTCATAAGTATTACCAAATGATTTATAAAAAGTTGGTAGTAAACCAATACTCCTTCTTTCTAGCCCATCCCAGTTGCTGTGTCCAATGCTGTTGAAGATGTGGCCATGCAAGGTAAACTGGAGGCCCTGTATCAACAACTGGATGACAAAGATGAGGAGATCAACCAGCATTCTCAGCTGGTTGAAAAACTCAAAGAGCAGATGATGGAACAGGAGGAGCTTATTGCTTGCACAAGGTAAGAATAATTATACTTGGTGTACATAAAAAACTAAAATTATAAGGTAAATTAAATGGAGATGGAAGCCGTGTTTTTTATATGTCTCAGATGGGTGATTAAAAATAATGATGATGAAATTGCCGACTCATAAAATAAAAATACTGAAAACAAAATTACTTAAATATCAAATTGTCTCATACAATATGATATTTCGGATTTATTTGGCTCACCAAAACAGTCTGCGGTGATTGGTCTTACTAATTTACTTAAATATCATAGCATAAAATACAAACTAAGTTATAGAATGTATTTCTGTTGTTTACCCTTTACTGTTTATAAACAAAAAGATTAGTCTCTTTTTTATCATTGCTCTCTAAGTTACATAGTTCAATTGTGCAATTGAGCATGACAACACTTGTTTTGTGACATTGTTCTTTAGTATGTACATAGTAAGATAGTTAAATACGGAATTGATCAATGGCAAAACAACTTGATCCATAGAATTGGTTATCAGCAGTCTGGTTACCAAAGTGATCAGATTAATGATCACTTAAGCCTGAAGATGGCTTTCAGTAGTTGGGATCAGACAGCCATTTGTAAGAAGTGTTCAGTTATCAGATACTTATTAATTGTTTGTACTAGGCGCGATTACGAGGCCTTACAAGGTGACATGAATCGCATCCAGCAAGAGAATGAAGCAGCTAAGGAGGAAGTTAAGGAAGTTCTGCAGGCTCTCGAGGAGCTTGCAGTCAATTATGACCAAAAGTCTCAAGAAGTTGACAGCAAGAGTCGTGAGTGCGACCAGCTCTCCGAAGAGTTGCAGACTAAGCAGGTTAGTTATAAGCTGTTACAAAACAATTTCAAATGGAAAATTGTGACTCAATCCTATCATCAGCGTTGTTATTGCAATGTCTGTCCTCTAAATGTATGAACCACACAAGAAAAGATGAAAGTTTATTCATATTATTTACCATTAAACACTTATAACTGTCAAGTCATTCTAAAGTTCAGGAAAGGATGCAGCAATTTGGCTACTAGACAACCACACTTATTTAAATTCTATCTTTGAGAGACCAAGTAGTACAATGCTTTCGAAAAAAGACATTCTATTGTCTAATTTTTGCAAGCAATTATATACTAATACCCACGGACCCGCGCAACTTCGCCTACGTCTCTCAAAAGGAATAATTTTTCCCGGTTTTCAAATCATTTGTCTTTGATGCTCTGCTCATATTGGTCGTAGTGTGATGTTAAATAGCTTTATAGCCTTCCTCGGTAAATGGGCTATCCAACACTAAAATAATTTGGCAATTCGAACCAGTAGTTCCTAAGATTAGCGCGTTCAACCAAAGAAACAAAATTATCAGCCTAATAAACTCAGAAGAAATAAGAAAGAGAAGATATGTTAGTTCATAAACTGTGAAACTACTAATTTTAATCATTGTTTCACCTTTACGAAGCTATTCTATAAAACAAAACAAAGATAGCATTGTACTGGTTTTATATCTTATCTCAACGTTTTTATTGACTCAATAGAATTTGAGATTAATTGAAATCAATTCAATATTCTGTCCAAATATAATCGAAAAATATTCATATCTTTATTTCTTAAGTGTTGAATTAATATAGATAAGTCACATTTGTGAATGCAATTGATCATTGATATCACACAAAACTCACTATGAATTCGTATTTTTGTATCCAGAGTGCTTTGGCAAGTGCTACCTCCGAACTCCAGCAACTCCGTGACCTATCAGCACATCAACGCAAACGTATTGCGGAGCTACTCACGAACTTATTACGAGATCTTGCCGAGATTGGCGCAGCCGTCGGAGGGTCAGAACTTGATTTCAAGCTCAATGTGGACACCGTTGGCAAACTGGAAGAGGAGTTCACCGTCGCTCGTTTGCATATCAGCAAGATGAAGAGCGAAGTTAAAAATATCGTACAACGTTGCCATTCCTTGGAGTCTGCTAATATTGACGCTAACCAAAAGGTAATTAGATCTCATTTAACTTTCAGTATCCCTATTAATCTTTAACCTTCATATTGGTCTTTTTTTTATTTTATTAATACACATCTACAATAGTGTTAATGCGTCTATATGTTATACCATATTTAGCTAATCAGTATGGTATCGTAACGATAATTATAAATTATTTAAATCGTGACTTTAAACTTTGAAATGTCTTATTGGAAAGTTAGAAACATCATCGACTTTAATGAGACTAACAGAATATTTTTGATGGTCGTTAATTCTGGTGTTTATAATATACGTTGTAAAGTAATTATGACTCGTGATTCCCGTACAGATTGAGGAGTACGAGCGTTCGCTGGGCGAGTGCCGTCTTCTCATCTCTCAGCATGAGGCGCGGTGTGCTTCGCTGGCGGAATCTATGCGCGAGGCGGAGAACAAGAAGAGACAGCTTGAGGAAGCTGCTGATGCTCTTCGAGAGGAATGTGCACGTTTACAGGTAAATCATTTTATTTTTTTAGTAATAATTATTGTTATCGAATAAAATACAATTGTTTTTGGAACATATTTTATATAAGCGTTCATATCGACTTAGCTGACAAAGAAAATTTCAGGCCTGTGACTGTTAAGTGTAATGGCAGTTAACAAGATTTGTAAACACATAATATGTACTATATAATTGAGAGATCTCAGAGATCTAGTGTTATTCTTTGAATTAGTCTTGTAAGTAATTAGTTGTGGTATAATATATAACTAATTATAAGTCTAATAGTACATGTTTCATTTTTGTTTTATGATTACATTAGACAATATTTTTGGGATCATTCGATATATTTGACTTGTTCTTAGTGCGGTTATTGTACGTGAGACCGTCGACCATTATCGATCGGACTGGATGGAAACGGTACTGGCAGAATATGTAATTTCCCATGGGAATATTTTCAGCGAAACGTTTTTATTTGGCGGTGTAGAGTGATCCACCGCTGATCGTATTTCGATCAGCGGTGTAGAGTGATCCACCGCTGATCGTATTTCGATTTAGCATTGATTTTGACAAAAACCCTTTGCTTATCGATCATTTAAAACAAGAATGAAAAAAAAATAGTAAGTAGGTGTCGGTCGCTCGGGTGTCGGTAGAGAGTAAAGAGTGCGTGTGGTGCGACAGGCGGCGGAGCGCGTGCAGCTGGCGGCGGCGGAGCAGCGCGCCGACTCGCAGGTGCGCAGCGCGCTCGAGGCTCAGCTGGAGCAGCTGCGCACGGCGCACGCCACGCAGCTCTCCGCGCTGCGCGACGAGCTCGCCGCGCTGCAGCGCCACCACCAGGAGCTCAAGGAGTCAGTACACCCACTATACCCACCGCCCTATCTAGCTATACGTAACTCCCCGCCTCCCCGCCTCCCCGCCCGATGTCTCGTATAATTATCTCGACACTGTTCAGATAAAGTTTTATTTTTCGCGAAAGAGACTTACGATTCGCCCGTACGCTCGTTCGTTAGGTACGTTGGACACGAAATGCGATGTCGTAGGCTTAATTTTTCTAACTGCAGTTAATCCCACCGTCACTAAAATTGTCATAAACGCCCGCCGTCCTCGGTTCCTGATCTATCTAATTTCTATTAAAATATCCTAATCTAATCTTAGTTTTATTTTTAATAGCTGCTCGAATAGCAAAAGTAATGCTAAAAACTTCCTTCACGTTTTTTGACATTAACGATAACAAAATAAGACGGTAATCAGGAAACTGAGTAAAAAAACACATCAAATCACAAATACAATAATTATAACTATCAAAAAACATTACATATATAATATGGGCACATCGCGTAATATCTACCTAATAAAATAGGTTCAGTCCTTTTCCGTAATAAAAAAAACCTCATTATGTAACACTTTATTTCATCAAAAATATTTATTATAACAATGAATTAATTACCAATTTAAAAAATTGTTTCTGGCAACCTAAATAACTTTGTTTTTGTGCGATGAAACGTTTTTTACCAAACATCTTACGTAATTGTTACTATTTGATGGTCATATAAAACTTAGATAATTTGAAAGTGTATGGTAGAAAACCAATATAATGTTCGTTTACATTTTTTTAAAGATGAAATATGTTAGAACTTTTATAAACGTGAACGTGAACTATGCACCAACTGGATAACCTAAATAATTATTATCTTCAAAAGTAGTGGTGATATTAATATTTTAATTTTATTTGCAGCTCATACCAGGAATTGACACTGGCTCGCCAGCAACTGCAGGACGACTACGAAAAACTGAAGCGCGAAGAAGCCGACAAATCGGCCAAACTCAAGGAACTCATGTTAGTGTCTCGTTCACCACGCCGTAATCTCGATAAGGCCGAGAAAGAGGTGGTCAATCAACAGATGGTATTAAAAGAGGAGGGCGATAACTTTAGGGATTACATCATATCCCCGAAAAGAGAGAAGTTAGGATTCGCCTACGGAATGGGCCCCGAAATAGAGAAAGCTTCCGTCAAAGAGGAAAAGTCGCTCTCGGCAATCCCAAAGTCCTACAGTATCCGTCACTCCTGTAATATCCACCCTCTCCAACTCCATTTACTTATATCTGTCACGATGATCCTCATCACTCATCGTTACCCACAAATTGTCGTTTTGGTTTAAGCTTTATGACTTATTTTTCTGTGATATCTATGTGGATCTCAAAACACTACGACAATATTATTTGCAGTGCCTTTATATCATTTTGGCAATTTGTTGATACCGTTTCAGCCATCGGTGACTTGCAGTTATTAGGTGAAATGCAGTATAATAATAACACCAGGTCATTCGATTTCAATGCTGAAATTGTGCGAATAAATTGCTTAACGAAATGTTAACTATAGCTCCATTTATTTGTGTGAATGAGATCCATATACCTTGTTATCGACGCAATCATAATTTATACTACTCGCTGACATCGCTCACGTTAGTAATAGTACAAAATATTTAAATCTTTAGTAAAATGTAAGTTGATGTAAGCGAGTTGTACAAGAATTATTGTTTTGATATTCAAAACGATATGTTCATATTTTTTATGCATTTTGACGCTTCGCTTTAAAGACTCATTAGACTAGTCAATAGAGCATTTAATACCTAGTCGAAAATAGGTTATTTGTTTATTATAATTCTTAGTTTGCTTGTAAGTGAAAATAGGGTCTATTGTAGATCTTGCCAACTTCTAGCATGTTGTTTACTATCGTTCATATTTACTGTTGAAGCATGAACCTTCTATAATAAGTAAAGTACCTAAATAATAACAACATAGATATTTTTCACATATAACAGAGAATTATACAAATGTATTGTGTTTCGGAGTGAGTTATGTGTCTTGTGATCCCCGCAGACAGATTGGGTGTATCTACGTAAATAGTACGCTTTCTCAGTTGTTCTAGTCACTGTCTTACAGCATTGTTGAATTATAGTTGTTGTTTGCACAGTTGCAGAACTTGTCTGTTCCAAAAAGACATTGAAGGATTTGTGTACTAAAGAATGTTTAAAAACTCTGGACGATTAATTATGACAGCTTGCATCATTGTATGCCTTACAATTGTGTATATCGTTATGGCACAAATATTCAAACTAGTAACAAAGACAAATTATTACTAAAGTAAATATTTTCATGTAAATATTGCTGTAAATAATCTTGAGTGTTTGTATAGAGAGTCAGGAAGTAATATTTTTGTCAAAATATTTTTTATACAGATTGATGACCGTTATAACTGATTTCGCGCAAATATAGTCGTGTTTCAGTACTTGTAGTACAATCGATCTCACTATTTGTCCATATTTAGATATATAATATAATGTTAATGTTATAAACAATTAGATTATAGGCGCATACACATGTATAGCTAAATGATTAAACTTATTTATAGGCAACAAGGGATGTGGAACCATTTAGTAATATTTAAAGAAAATGACCGTTTTAGGGCATTTCATAATAAGACAGAAGATAATTCCATTATCAGCATTTATCACATAGGATTAAGTCGCATTTTTAGTTAGTTTTTCGTATTGCATGTTGCATAGCTCATCTCACTATCTACACTAATTTACGATTAAATTGGCAATTTACTACAACATATAATATATTCCTAGTGTCCATTTCACTTCCTCTAGTCTGTGTGCACTTGAAATGCCGAAGAGTGATTATCGCCTCCTCGTGTTTAAGCTACTACTGTACGTAAATCACTGATACTTGTGAACACACCGAGTCGGTATATGAAGCGTCTTATCTGTATGTAACTTAAACACATTTGGCGAAACCTTTGGTCTAGCAATTTGATCTGAGCAATATTTAGAACATATCTATTTTGTAATCACGTTTCTAGAATTATTGCTTGTAAAAAGGGACGAAGTGTGTAAGTGGTTATCGTGATCGGTGTAAGTACGATGTAGACGTAGTGCAAGGTGTTGTAATGCCTTATGCTTTTTTACTTTTGAGTTGTCATTTTATTCCGCACGTATCCCATTCATATTCATTCCGCCGAGGGTTAACAGTTTCTAAACATTCGCCCTATATACATGGAGTGGTGATGTATATGGATGGGTGCGTGCCTGCAGTTAGATAACTCACAACTCATTCGCAGGTAATAAGGGTGTCCATTGATCATTATCTGGACGTATTATTTATGTCAAATATAATATGATATGTTTGTTATCTGCAGTCAAAGCGTGGAGCGGCGTGAACAAGCCCGCGCTGATCTCAAAGGTTTGGAGGATACTGTTGCGAAGGAACTGCAGACGCTGCACAACCTGCGCAAATTATTCGTACAAGATTTGCAGGCAAGTTCTAAAGTATCATTATTATTAACCATTGTTCTCCGTAAATATCTGATTACGGTCGACTGATGAGATCATTGCTACGATAGTGTAAATATTTTGTGTAAAAGTATATATCTCAAACTTAGGCGAGGATAAAGAAATCCAACAACTCGGAAGAGGGCGCCGAGGAGGAAGGCGGTTCGTTGGCTCAAAAGCAAAAGATATCTTTCCTGGAAAACAACTTGGAGCAGCTGACGAAGGTGCACAAACAGTTGGTGCGCGACAACGCGGACCTGCGCTGTGAGGTGCCCAAGTTAGAGAAGCGCCTGCGAGCCACCATGGAGAGGGTCAAGGCGCTGGAGACTGCGCTCAAGGTACGTCTTCTCACTACTTTCACTGACATAACACTAAATTAACGGAATAGAAACGAACTATATTGTTAGACCTAATAGAGAGCCCACCCAATATTAATTCCTGTTTTAGAAAATAAGAAAAAAACTGAAATATGTAATTTCTAGTAGACACATTTTGTATTTATTTTGAATAGTTAATGTATGGTTGGTTCTAGCACAAGGATGACTGTTCTTTATGTTCTTCTATTTGTATTACAGGAAGCGAAGGACGGCGCTATGCGCGATCGCAAGAGATATCAGTTTGAAGTGGACAGGATTAAGGAAGCTGTGCGTGCCAAGAATCTCGCCCGGCGGGGCCCACAAGCGCAAATCGGTAAGTTTAATATTTCTCCAAATTTGCTTAATTATCATTATGCAATCCTCGAAGGTAAAATTTACTAAAATTCTACATAAAAATCTATAATCTATACGTGTAAATATACAATTCAGGTCATGCGTTAAATGTTCTGCCCTTTACTCAGTGTTACGGATTCTTGTAGTTACGTATACAACCGTAGAACTATTGAGTCTCTACTTTATAAAACGGTTATTTTAATGTCTAAATAACCAATTTCAGCGAAACCCATTAGAGCCGGAGGCGGACACTTGGTGGGTGGTGGAGCGCCGGGTGTCGTACGACCTGCGCCTGCACAAGACATTAAAAGGAAATCGATCATCGTTGGAGCACGAGGTAAGAGTTCATATTCACACCAGTTGAATTAAAAGAAAAACAAAACATCTTACGTTTCTAGGATAGCATAATAAAGTATTGTCTTTGTTTACAGATGAGAGTTGAAGAGATAGCTGTTCCATCATAGAGAATTTAAATGAAACTTCATAGGTGTACCTTGCAGGGGTGACGAAAATAATTCTTTTAAATTATAACCATTTTAATATATAACTGTGTTTATGGAAAGCCTAATAATAAGTGCAACAAAAAAAGAAAAATATCGGTAGAAATTTCTTAGGCTTAATATTTGAGCTAATAATTAACGTCTATAAGTGCACACGGATTTAGCAGTAAATAGCTTTCTGCTGAATATATCAGGTTTCATGTAAATTCGATGTAATACACGTTCTAAAAGTATTACGATTTGAGCAGTCTCGAAGCTTCTATGGTGTTTTGATGTTGCTATATTTAAATCAGATATAATATTTTTATGAAATGACAAAAAGTATTATTTAGTTTCGCATTATGGATGCTTAAACTCGATAAAATGTTCTATGAAGTTGGTGGTGATCATCTTTATGGGGAAGAAATGCGGTTGACCGAGTCGCAAGCAATCATTGAGTACAAAGAATACCGAGCCAGTTACCAATTGTGTGAAATTAACGGAATATAATATGCCGCTCATTTCTCTCCCATATGGATACTCGATAATATTTTCTAAGATGCAATATCTCGTTATTTTAAGATTATGCTGTGAATTATTTGCAGACTTGCATATGCTGCCGCACAAATAAAATAAAAACAAAAAAAAAAAAAAAAAAAATTGTGTATGTTACTGTCGGCCGCGTTATCGATTCTAAGTGTGGTGGCAAATGCAGAACAGTATGCATCATCAATGTGTAGTTGTAGTTTAAGCTTCTTTAATATATATTTTTATATATTGTGATAAGCGTTGATATGCCGACATGCGAGCATTTATTTAGTTAACGATACGAAAACCTCTGGTATATGTCCACAAGGTGTCATGGGTGATAACGAGAATGATTGGAAATATTTAAAGCTTCAGTATCCGCTCATAACCGGTGAGTTAGCGTTGGATTCACGTGCGTGTGTGCCTGGACGACTTGCTGCAATAAGCAAGTTCACTGTCTTTAGGTACGGTCTGCGCCACTTTGACGATACGATTTTAGTGGGAGATTTTTTTATTCAACGCTGAATATGAAAATCTCTTTCAACTAATTACATTTTTGTTCCAGTGACTTGAATATCACACGTGACAGTATAATTGATGCTGCTTAAATACAAAATATGTGAACATAAAGTTTATTACATAATCGTAGGTTATCATTCATTGCACCTTTCGCTTAGTCCCCATACTACGCTTCACTTTCACTTTGGCTTGTGAGCTGTGATGTTTTTAGCAAATATTTTACTTTTTTGTCTTTCCTGTAATTGTCTCACTAGTAGTTTTAGTCAAGTTCCAATACAATATCGACTCTTATAGTTTAGTGCATTACTATTAAGAAAGTATATTTTAATGAAATGTATGGAACACCTCACTTTGAACCATGTATGACATCTGTTGAAAAGCGAAATATAACTTGGAACAATCAGCGCGTCTTATGTAGTATGTTCGAATTGGTTAAAGTTCTCTATTTGCTTTAGGGTGCATCAGCTTCGCTGTAGATCTGTAACTTACATAAGTACTTATGAATTAATCACGTTGGGCAGCAGTCAGGCTTGTTACGTCTAGACACGGCTCCAGTGTAGTGCACATGCCCGGCTGCGTCCTTAGAGGAGTTATGGAACTATGGCCGACTAAACGTCCAGAAAACCAAAGATGTATCACAATGTTTAGGTTTATTGATCCACATTTACCAGCTGAAATTAAATGTAAGCCCGAATTACTCAATGGTTCCAAAGCTCCTTAGTGTGTTGCAATACATTTATATTGTTTAGATGTAAAGTAATAGTAAATTATTTCACACTTAATTTAGATACATGATTTTTATCCTATTTTATTTATTGTATATCGTAAAACTAAATTATCTCGTATTTTTCACTTTTGAAGTGTAATAAATGCGCTTTTTATATACCTCTACTTACATTATTTTAAAATCATGATCAAATACATATATTTTGCATTAATAAATTAGAGATGCCTACAAAGATACATTCCATGAGGAAAGCACACAGTATCTTTGTTAATCTTTAAGATTATTTGTTTTGTTAAAGTGTAGTTAAAGAGGCTATCCTCGGTTTCCACTCGCCTGTTGCATAAATAGTCCTAGACGGAGGTCGACGCGATTCGGACGCCCGATGGTCGGGCGAAACCCCAAACCGACAGGCTTGCCTTTGCACCAAGTGATTTAGTTTGTATTGACATCTTTTGTATCATGTATTTTAATATATGGAAAATTCTCAAAAAGAGTGTTTTCTTGATTTTTTTATTTATTATGAAAATAAAATCATGAATTTATTTGCTAAAGTGCATTTTCATTTTTCTTTAGGTATTTAATCTTTGTCTGTTTCTGCAACGAACTATTCGCAAGTAAAAGAAGCACCTCACTTTGTAAATCCTAAAGAAAATAATTGGACCTTATCAATTGCTTATTTTTAACTCAATATAGTTTAAAAAAAGAACCCCTTTTGTAACTAGCCCAACTCAAAAGTAGAAAATAACTTAAAAGAGAAATCATTTTATCTTAAAAATACGGGGATGTTAGGTGTCAATTGTTGTAAATATTTTTTTGACAGAAATTGGTAAAAGTATATTTATACAAAAAATTTGATTGTGTACGCTTAAAAAATTTGTAAAGTTTGTGCCAAAGTATAAGTCCACACGGTCATATGCGTACAATAAAACTATTTGCGGCCGGACCGCGCACTAGACTAAATCTAGTTGCGCTGCTGAGTAGCTGCCCTAAAAAAACGCCGAATTGTTAAGATTTTTTGCTTCAAACGAGATCTGCCACGTCACGTTTACAAAAAGATGACGTTACCTTTCATATGTAAGTAATTTTTAATCAAATGTTTACTATTTACTCATTTTTAAACTTAAAATTCAATAGTAACATTTTTATTGTTTTGCATTTCTTTACCAACACACCGCTCGCTCTCATACAATATTCGGATCGGTCGAGCGACCGATCTGAGTATCGTGATCTGAATTACAGCGACTGCTAATCGCTATCACCGAGCGATAGTGTAAATAGTTAGACATCGAAAAAACAAATACATCCATGTCTCTCGTGCATATTATCATTTTTAACCGACTTCAAAAAAAGGAGGAGGTTCTCAATTCGACTGTATTTTTTTTTTTTTTTTTTTTTTGTATATTTGTTACGCGATTACTCCGGCAATTATAAACCGATTTGAATAATTCTTTTTTTATTTGGTAGGTCATACGTCAGAGGTGGTCCCATTGTCACCAGGTCAGAATCTGATGATGGGATCCTGGGGAAATTGAGGGAAACCCTCAAATTTTGTAGGCATATACACTGTTTATCAGAAATTATCTTAATCTATGTAGATTTTTGCATCTAATGGTCACCATCTGATGTTGCTGAGCTGATGATGAAGCTGTTGATGAATGGTTTAGGAGTATGGGATCTCTGTAACAAAATTATGTAATACCATCGAATTTGAATGTGTTTGAGTCTAATTAATAAGAACTCCGATCCTATGTGATATTCAGGGTCTGATGATGGAGACGGTAAATAGCCATGGGAACTCTGTAATAAAATAAAGCAATTCCGCCGTGTTTGTGCTCATTTGATTCGTCTCGACTAGGAGCTTCATGCTAGTCGATTTTTAACCAACATCAAAAAAGGAGGGTTTTTAATTCGACAGTATGTTTTCTTTTTAACCGACTTCCAAAACACAAAAGAGGAGGTTCTCAATTCATCTGTATTTTTTTTTTTATGTATGTTTGTTACGCGATTTCTTCGTCAATTGTGGACCGATTTTCAAAATTCTTTTTGTAATCGAAAGGGTATGCTCCCGAATTGGTCCCATTACCACCAATTCAGGATCTGATAATGGGATCCTAGAGAAATCGAGTGAAACCCTCACAATTATTGGGAATTTGACAGCCCCGACAACGTGTTTTAGCTACGAGTATTTCTTTAGCCAAACAAACCATGGCAACTTTCAGAGACTGCGCGATGTGATGCGCAGAGAACTTGCAGTATTTATGTCACCACAGTAATTTTCGTTGTATTAAGAAGAAAAGGTTGAAATTTTGTATTCTATCTTGTTAAAATAATTCAGATAGACGTTTTGTTGCTATGGATGGCATCGCATTTCGTTTGTAAGTAATTTTATACTTCATTTATTAAAATAGTTCTGGAAAAAACTCTTAAATTTTGGGTGGGTCAACTAGGTTAATTTCTAACATACTAGTATTAACCCTTCTAGTTGGAACTCCTTCTATAAAATATTGAGCATATTTGTTGAGTAGTCTCACTAAAGCTTCCCTATCTTCACCTTCGAGATCAGTGTCAATTGAATCGGAAGTTATTTTGTTCGGTTGCAACTCACAAGAATTTGACTGTTTCTTAGAAAAGAATTTAAGCTGATCTTGATCAGTTTGGACGCCAATGTCATTTTCATATCCTACACTAAAAATGGTAAAATAAACCCTTTTTAAAAAAAAAGTTGAACCGACTTCAAAAAACACCGACAAAGAGCACTAAAAATTAAAAAATAATTACAAATCTAAGTAAAAAACTATAATAAGTACCCTCAATGTAACAGGTAACATTATAATACCAATAGTCCCTTCTAGTCTGTTTGAAGTCGGTGCCAAGCTCGATGTACAATAAGTAATACTGGTCTATGTCAGCTTTATATTAGCACAATGAAAAATTAAGAATTCAAAATAATTCTAATGAAACATCGAAGATTTTATTAATTAATAAAGACCAACCAGATCAATTACGTGCGCAAACTTATCAACTACTTATTAAAGAATTCAAAATAATAATATAATTGGAGATGTGCGTCCACTTTAGCTCGTTCATCATGTTTTGCGCAGCATGAAGACTGTTGCAGCTGCCGCGCTACATTCTACCATGCCTATCAAGCACCTATTTGGCTTGGCACCGACTTCAAACTGACTAGAA